CGTGTATCAGCCTTTTGGTCCAGTACGCAACAATAAATTACTCTCTCTGTTTCGTTTTAAATGTCGTTGTAGGGTGTCAACTTTTTTGCAAATTAATTGTCATTGGAAATATTATATTCATTTTTACATCTTTATTCTCTTTAACAAGCATTATCTCTTATCATTATCTTTAAAAATCACCCATTAATAAATCAAAAACTAAATTTAATAAGATTAAAAAATAAGATTATTACACAACTCATTAAAATCGTAATTTAGAAGTTTTAAATTAAAACGATATTTAATAAAAAACGGAGGGAGTAAATGGTAATTAAATGTCAGCTTTTGCTGACACCCGCACGTCTTCCTCTTAAAAAGCCCAAAATTAAGGAATACCACTCCTTTTCCATTTCCCAAACTCATTTCTGAAGAATTTTTTTTTTCTCTCACGTTCCTCCTCATTTCTCCTCCTCCTCCAACCCTAATCGCCCAATATCACATTTTCTTCTTCCCTTCGCTACTGACACCATAATCACCCTCTCCACTCACTTTCTGAAAATCCTAATCGCCCAAAACCTCTAGCACCTGTACCACGCCAACATCCATATAAGCTGGAAATGGCTCGAAACTCAGCGGCGGAGGAGTTTTCGCTGAATCAAATTATGGTGCATTTTTTTGTGAATTTATTCGTAATTACTTGACTTACTTTTGGTTTGTCATGATACTTACATTATTAACCTCATTTTTTAGCTCGAAGAGGGTTTTCCTTTGTGGATGTCGGCTCCGGTGACTGGGATCGCGATGGAATTCCCAGCGAGCGAAGGGGCTTTGTCCTGCTCGCCGCCGACCATATCCAAGCCAAACTCCATGAGGTTGATCTTAGATGCCAGGAATTTTTATTTTTTAATATTACTATTTGCTGGTGAAGTTACGTAAACCATCAGTGGTTGCTAGATGAACATGTTGAAATTGGGGAAATAGTTGATGGGTTTTGTACAAATTTGATTTAGAGCTCATGCTTTGAACTGGTTTTGGTATTTGATTGAGATCATGTGTGATGTATGTTTGTTGAATTCCAAAAGCAATCTTTTGGTCTGATTAGACCAACCTGTTTTTTGCCTAATATACTCTCTGAATATTATAAATTATTGGCCAATAAAAGTTAACATGGAGTCAGATTAAAGGTTCAAATTACTTTCACCTCTGTTAAAAGCTTTTTGGGTGAAGTCTGAGATGACGTTTCTGTGGATAAATGGAAGACATATATATTAGTAGATTCTGGAGAACAATGGGAGTGCAATTTATAGCATTTGCATAGATTTTTTAGCTTTCGGTTCATTCGTAGGATCGGGGCCCTTCTCCTCCAGAAAGACTACTGTCATTTAAAATTTATGTGTTGTCAAATTTATTTGTTTCTTTAGTGTCTTTTGAGTGTTGTGTCTCTGCCATTGATTGTAGTTTTGATCCCATCAAAGAGACGTAGTCTAGCAATTGAGTTGTTTCATATTCATTTTTCTATCGCCTTTTTAAAATGATACTAATTTTGAATGTTTTGACTTCTGGCATATTACTGTTGTTCATAAGTGGGCAAACCAGGTACAGGTGAGCAAGTAGTGGATGTTAACCTGAATTTGCGTTAAGTACTGTCCTCTCCTTAGTGTGAGAGTATTATGTTTCCTTTTTCTTCTAATGTTATTTGTGCCGAATGATTGATGAAACCATATACTAATACCGGTGTTCATTGTTCTGTTTGTCATCCTTGTTGGAGCATTTAAGGTCGTCATATCAAACTGGTCTCCCTTCGCTCCAAATGGAGTACAGTCGTCAATATTGACTATGGACAACAGTCGTCGTCTTATCATACGTTGGATTCGACGTGGTCCAATATCATAAAGTTCTAAAATTTCAAAGAGTCCAATATAACCACTTAAACTCACTATTATTACCAAATAAAAATTCTAATTACTATCAATACATATCATCCCCTTATATATAATTCTCGAATGTACTGAATCTAAGTAGCAGACTCGCATGCTTCGGGATCTTAGGTGTCAAAAATTTCATGCTTCATTATTTGACTTCGATAAATTTTAATTTAATTCTAATCCAAAAATAATTAAGTCCGAATTACCATAAATATGGTGACTATTTATGATCATTTTAGATGTATTAATTGTATTTTAATATCATTTCCTATTATAACCATTGAATTGTAAATGTATTTTAAAAGTTAATAACTTTTGTACTTTTTATCGATTTTATATTTATTATATATCAAATTATTCATCTTTTGATAAACTTTAATTTGACATCCATATTCTATGTATAAAATAAATAAATTATATTTATCTTTATAATAATAATACAAATTATTTATTAATATTAATTAAAAAAATAAAATTATTTCTCAATTAATATATTTTATGTTTAAAGTAGTTATATGTTATAAATTATAAAATTATTTTAACTCGAAAGTTGACTTTATGGATAGGAAGAAAATCATTACAAGATACAACTTATTGAAATTGTATCAATTTAATGTCTGAATTTTATTATATTTCAACAGAAATTTTACCGTTTACTTATTTTCAATGTAAGGCTCAGTTAACATTACTTTTTTGACATAATATGTGAACCGTGATATTATTTTAATAATCTATATTTTACATATTCATTTAAAAAAGAATATTAACTATATTTGACAATTAACTTAAACGGGAAAATAAATCAATATAAGTTATATTTATGCAAAAGTTTAATAAATTTTATTTTTAAAATAATTATTAAGAGAATTATAAACATATAATTTAAATATTATTTTGATTAATAATCTAAATATGTAGTGAGATTAAATATAAATAAAAATATGTAATAAAAATATAAAATCAAAAATTGAGTTGATGAAAAATGAAAACTAAAAATTTTATTAAAATATTATTTTATACTTTTATTACATATCTATATTAGTAATAAAAATATTATCTCGATTAGTTATTTTTTAAATCCACTTATCAATTTTTAAAAATAATCAATATTAAACTTTTTCAAAAAAAATTATATAGATTCATTTTCTTATTAACGCAATTTTATTAAACATATTTCTTTAGTATTATAAGTATGTAAAATATAATTACAACAACATAATATTTTTTTACATAGTTATATTATAAAATAAAATTAGTTGGTTCACATATTTATGTCAAAAAGTAAAGGTAATTGGGTTTTATAGTGAGAAGTTGAATAAAAAAGTGAAATTTAAATTGAAAATAACTTAAAATATAAGTCTTCTCTTAAAAATAATAAAATTCAAATATTAAATTAATACAATTCTAAAAAGTTGGTTTTGTAATTGGTGTTTCCCTTATGAATAAGTATAAATTAACCTAAATTTTTTAAGTGTGGTTTAACGATAAGTTTGAAAACTAGTGTAAGGGTAAACATTTTAGCATGCAATTACTGCTTCTATGGTTTAGTTTCACACATATTTAAATACTACCCAAATTAGTATGCATTGCTTTTGATGGCAATTTTTAATCTAGTAAATACCAATTTCTTCTATATATAGATAAAGGCACTAAGTTCGTTGGGCTTAAATTGTTCTACTTTTGTGTCATCAAGTTTGTCCTTACGCCCAATACAATATAAGAATTCAAATGCTAAAATACTTCAAATGGTTACGATCGGACATGCCAAACTTCATATTTTAGTAAGATAATGCATTTTTTTTTTTTTTTCGAAACGATAGGTTAATTAAATTATCACAAGAATCAAATACAAGGTTTGGGGGCTAACTAGCCCATAAGAATACAGAAGAGGAATGACAACTTCTCTAATACTAGGAGTTTGTATCCTTCCCCGGCAGAGGCCCGGCAAAGATCACGGGGATGAACTCCAAACTCCAACCCTAATCAATATGTACTGTTGGGCACCAAAATTAGCCAACCATTGCACCTAACAGGACCTAGTTGGCTAACAAAAACCTAAGCAACAGAAAATAACAAGCAACAGACTAACTAATCGGACCAAAACATAGACTTACTACACAAACTTAGCACAAATATTAGTATATTCCAGCCACTCCTTACAAGCTATATTCACCGTGGCAGCTTCAGGCCTTATTTCATTCTGAAAGACCCATAAGTTGCGGGTTTTCCAGATCCACCAAAGAATGTAGGTGGAGAGCTGTAGTCGAGCTTCTGCAACAGGGTTGAAAGGAATGGAACAGAGATGCATCCACCATGCCTTAAAAGAACCAGAGAAATCTGTTGTGCAATCCCAGGAAACAGAGGAAAATTTCCAAATGAGTATGGATCTTCTGCACTGGAAAAAAAGATGCTCCTGGTTCTCAATCCCTTCACCACAGAGTTTGCAGGTATTGTCAACTGGGATTTTCCTTGTTGAGAGGTTGTTCATGACAGGTAGGATATTGTTCATGCATCTCCATATGAAGTGCTTTAGCTTGTCTTTAATTTGCAACTGCCAGGTTCTCCTCCTTATGGCCTTTAGTTCTTTGTGGTTTGAGCTTGATTCTGGGATGTCCATGAGTCTCCATTTTTGTTCCACAAGCTTGGTGTATGATGATGATACAGAGAACTTCCCATTCCTGGCCCACTCCCATCTTAGTCTATCTTTTCTGTGTGGGTCTAGGCCTGTTATGCTCAGTATAGCAGCTGCTTCTCTCTCCTGGAAGTGTTCCTCAATGACCTGCTTATTCCACCTTTGACCTGAGGCATCCATAAGGTCTTTTACCCAAAGGGTCTCCTGGCTCAGAGTGTTGTTTGTTGACAATTTATATCCTGGGAGGCTAGGGACCCAGGGGTAGTCCCTTATTCTTGTTGATTTGCCATCAAAAATCTCAACCTTCATCCCACCTTGAGTAGAGTCTCTCACCTTCATCCAACTGCTCCATAGCTATGAGCAATTGGATTTTTGCTTAGTTGAGAAGAAGCCTGATTTATGAAAATAAAGTCCTTTCAGCACCTTTGAGACCAGGAGATTAGGGTTTGAGTTGATTCTCCGGAGCTGCTTTGAGATTAAGGCCTTGTTGAACAGATGGAGGTCATGAAAGCCAATTCCCCATTTGTCCTTAGATAATGAGACTTGGTCCCAGGATTTCCAGTGAATACTCTTTGTTTCTCCTTCCTTTGTGCACCACCAAAAATCAGAAATGCAACTTGAGATCTTGGATGTGACTGACTTTGGCAAGAGGAAGCAAGAGAAAGCATATGTTGGGAGTGCTCCCAGTACAGCCTTGATCAAGGTTTCTTTTCCTGCATAAGAGAGAGTTTTGCAATTCCAGGTCCCAATTCTTTTCTTAACAGTTTCTTCCACATAAGCAAATGTGGCATTTTTTGATTTCTCAATACCTAGGGGTAACCCTAGATATTTGGAAGTGCTAACAGCTTTTAGGCCAAGCAGAGTGTTGCAGATAGCTATTTGGGTGATCAGGGGTGTGTTTTTACTAAAGAAAACTGAGGATTTTGTTAGGTTAACTTTTTGGCCAGAGAGTTGTTGGTAAGTGTTCAGGATTTTGAGAATGTTAGAGGCTTGATTGAGGTCTGCTTTGGCTAACATAAGGGTGACATTTGCAAAACACAAATGGGTGAGGGTGGGGCAGTTTTTATTCATTCTGATTCCATGGAAGTTACCTGCAGAGACTTCAGAGTTGATAAGGTGAGTGAGCAGTTCAGAAAGGATTATGAAGAGGTAGGGAGATAGTGGGTCTCCCTGCCTTAATCCTCTTGATGAAGAGATATAGCCACAAACATCACCATTGACATTGAAAGAAAAGGAGGGAGATGATATGCAACACATAATCCACTTAACAAATGTAGAATTAAATCCTAATTGAAGTAGTACCAATCTCAATCCTTCCCATTCAACTCTATCGAAAGCCTTTGCTATGTCTACCTTAATGGCATATAATAGTGTTTGCCTGCTCTATGATTTTTCAGGAAGTGTATGATTTCATGAGCAATGATCACATTATCAACAATCTGTCTATTGGCTACAAAAGCTGACTGGTTTTGACTGATGCATAAAGGCAAGCAAGATTTAAGTCTATTAGCAAGGATTTTGGATATAACTTTGTAGGCCACATTACAAAGACTTATGGGTCTGAAGTTGGCAACAAGTACAGGGTTTGGACACTTAGGGATAAGGGTGATTAATGAATGATTCCAGCATTTAAGGAGCCTCCCAGAATTAAAAAAAACTAGACACAGCAGAGTACAGATCATTATGAATCAAAGACCAAAAAAATTGGAAAAAGATCGATCCCATACCATCTGGTCCAGGGGCCTTGTTGCGATTGATGCTATAGAGGGCTTCCTTCATTTCTTCAAGATTCACTTGGGCTACCAGTTCAGAGTTTTGCTCAGCTGAGATGACTTTCTTTAATCCTTGCATTAAGTTGCCCTCATCATTAAATCCTTCAGTTGAGAAGAGCTCGCTGAAGTAGTCTTCAATACAGTGTGATATGGCATCATGGGATTCACATGTAGTCTGATCATCTCTGACTAGCTTGTAGATTTTATTCTGTTTCCTTCTTATAGCAGTTTGAGCATGAAAGTATTTGCTATTCTTGTCACCGAACTTTAGCTAGCTAACCCTGGATTTTTGCTCCCAGTACTTAGCTTCAAAGTTGTATGCTCCTTTAGAAGGTCCCATTGTTGCCAATCTCTGAGGCCACTGTTTTCTCTCATTGCTGTCAGCTGCCTGTTCATGCTTTCAAGTTTTTTGGCATTTTCAGATTTGAATGTGCTACTCCATTTAAGTAGTTCAATTCTTGTGTTTCTGACTTTAGACTTGAAACTGAATATTGGGGTGCCATGAGTGTGGGTCTTCCAGGCCTTCTCAACCACTGCATTGATATCTTTCTTTTCAGTCCACCTTTTATAAAAAAAGAATCTCTTTTTACCTTTGGGCATTTCAGGTACACATCTCAAGATAATGAGGCTATGGTCTAATGAACTTCTGAAGATGTTTGCAGCTGTGGTTGTGGTGTATAATTGGGAGATATCTAGTGATAAGAAGAATCTGTCTAGCTTTTCTTCAATGAACCCTTCTCCTTCTTTGTTGTTACCCCATGTAAATGGGTATCCTTGGCAGTTGACTTCCATCATTTGCATATCATTAATGAATCCATTGAACAGGTTGCATGATGCTTGAGTTCTTGGTCTACCACCTCTTTTCTCATCTGGCTGAGTGATTTCATTGTAATCTCCCCCCCATAAACCAGTAGTTGCCCCAAGATGGTTTCTGTGCCTGAAAATATTCCCACTGTTGTTTTCTGGTCCCAAGATCTGTACTGGCATAAGTGAACACACCCCAACAGGTAACTTGTTTTTCCTCATCCCAAAATTCTACCTCTATGCTAAATTGAGTTTTGATGATTTTGAACACCTGCACATCAGGGTTCCAAAATAGTAGTAGACCTCCACTTCTACCAACTGGATCAACAGAAGTCCAGCTTTTACTCACACCTAAGCTTCTACAGACTGTGAAAATAAAATTATTGTTTTTTTTTTTTTGTTTCGGAAAGGAAGACAATATTCGGGTGATGGAGCCTCCAAATCTCCTTCAGCTGGGGAATTGTAGAGGGGCCACCTACACCTCTATAATTCCACACCGCAACTCTCATTTAGACTGTGGGGGCCATTTAGGGCTGGCCGCCTCCACCTTGACATCAAAGAGTTTCTGTTTTTTCTTCTGTTGATCCAGCTGATTACTTTCCATCTCTGCATTTGAGGGATGATGTTCTTCAATCACAAGGTGTCTTTTAGTTCTAGTAGCAATGGGTAGTGAAGGGTTTTCAGTGGTTTTGATTGGATTTTTCCTTTTCCATTTTGAGGCATTGATTGTTGGGTTAGCTTTAGGGCTGGAAGTTGGGGATGTGGGCTTTTTGTAGCTGGAGGTGTGGTCAGAGTGAATAGGAGGTGAGGTGTGAGGTGGTGATTGGGATATGTTAGCCATGAGCTCTGTATCCTTGACTAGGGTGCTATGAGGGTTTATAGTGGTAAGGGTTGATGAGAGGGGTAGTTGAAGGGGGGTAGAGGTGTGTTCAGGGCGAAAGGGTGGTGAGGTTTGAGGTGGTGATATAGTTATGTTAGCAATGAGCTCTGAATATTTGGCTAAGGTGTAATGAGGGTTCGAAACGGCAGGGGTTGATGGTAGAGGTAATCGAAGGGTGGTAGAGGGATGGGGAAGGGAAGTTGGAAATTCTGTGTCCATGTCTGAGGGTTGTGTTGGGATTATTTTTCCAGGTGCTGCATTTTCATTATTTGGGATGATGGGTTGTAGTGGTTGGTTTAGGGTGGGGTCTGATAGGAGAGGGTCCTTATCATGTTGTTGAGTGTTAATGACAGCAAGAGATTGGGTATGAATAGGTTGGGTTTGGCTTTGTTTGCTGGGGTTGGGGGAGTGAAAATAACTAGCTGTGTGAGAGGGGGAGGCAGATGAGCGTGGCGATGATGGATACCAACCTTCAGAGGCTTTGATCCACTCTCCAAAGAGCCCTTCTTTCACACTATCTTTGGTAATGTCTTCTTCTCTCTGAGCACATGATTTGTCTATGTGTCCAATACACCCGCAGTAAAAGCAAAAGTTTGTGAGTCTTTCGTATTTGAAATGCACCAGTACCTTCTTATCTGCAAACTGCACATTAGCACATCTAAGGAGAGGGATGGTAACATCCAAGACTGCTAGGATTCTAATGCATTTGTCTGCCAGATTTCCTCCACTTGGGACATTCACATTCTTGACCATCTTGAAGGCTTTTCCCAGTTTCATGCCCACTTCTGTTGAGTGCCAGTGTAACGGTAGGTTCCACGCTTGCACCTAGATGTCCATTTCACTAAAGCTCGGATGGTTATCTGTGAGATTCTCAGCCCATTCTCTTAGTATCAGAAATTGGTTTTCATATGTCCAGTTCATGCCCTTACTGACTTTGATTTTGTCTGTGTTGTCCGAGAATATGAATTGGAAAAAATTAGGGCTAACTTCTTTTACCGTCATTGGGGATTTAATTTGCCACATCTGGTTGACATCTCTCTTTAATCAGATCAAACTCGCCTTTTTGGTTCCCACAATTTTCCCTAGAAGGCTTCTGTTGCAGTCATCTGCACTGTTTACTATGTCGTCGGATTTAATAGCAATGACCGAGCTTTCATTTTCTGATAGCTGAAAGGATTGAAGCTTGGCAGAGATATCTTCTTCCATGGTGGTCTGGATGGTAGCCCAAGAGAAGAAATGACGGAACCTGGGGAAGAGGGAAAAAGAGGACGAAAGCAAAAGAAACGGGGACTACAAAGAGACTAATTTAAACGAGACTATGAAGTATCAATTGGATTGAGATTAGTACCTCTATTAGGATTAAATTCTCCATTAAAGGGGATAACGTACCTGCAATTGAAGGAATGCGGCTCTCAGTTGAGAGAAGGAACCCTCAAAAGAGAGAGAATTAGTAAGATAATGCGTTACTAAATTATACTTGCAGTTTTATTTTATATTTACGTGTGTGAAGTGATATGATATGAATTTTTTAAATATTTATAAATTGATAAATAAGTTTTGGATAGAAACTAACATTAATGCGTTGTACTGAAACTAGGGCTGCAAACGAGCCGAGCTGAGTTGAGCATTGGGCTTATCGAGCATGATTAATTTTTTTTTTTTTTGAAAATATAATATTAAAATATTAAGTAATTTAATCACAAGTGTGTTTCGGTGGACAACCTCTCAACAACATTTTGGAACCCTTAGGTCATGTTTGTTTATGAAAATTTTTCAAAAAAAATTCAATATTTTAACTCAACCATTTTTTTTAACTCAACTTTAACTCAACCCCACTATCATTAATATTATTAATATAATTAAATAATATCAATCAATCATTCACACACACACACCACATCAACCTTAATTTACTATTCATCTACTCACATTATTTTAACTAATCATCACTTCAATCATCTATCTCATACTTTTACATCAAATCAATTTTAATTATTTTATTTTAAATATTATTTTAATATACCCACTAACAACAAACCATACCACTTTTTTTAAATTTAACCAAATCAAACCAAAAAATTCAAACAAAATCAAAATTTTTCATAAACAAACATGCCCTTATTTTGTCGTGTTATAATTTATAACCGAGTATTATGGTATTGGCTATGACGGATGGAGTGATGGCCTGATGGGTATCTTTAAAATTGAAAGAAAATGAAAGCATTCCAAACAAGGCCTTCGGATCCGGACAACAACACTAATTATTAACCGCAGAAAATTGGACGGCATTAAGTGAGATCTTGCCACGTATAAGAAAAATTAAAAATTAGAGACAACTCTGATATGATAGTGAACTTCGATTTTAGTACGATTTGAGGGAAGTCCCATGTCCAACTCAAAACCGCAATTTCATTTTAATATTGTGTTTGCCATATTGTGTTCAGGTGTACGTGTCCCAATTCCATACCACTCACTTTTATTTCACTATTTAAAATTTTAAACTCATAAGTGCTACTATTGTATTGTTTTATAAAGAAAAAGTATTCGTAAAGAAAAAGGGTGTGATTATTTATGGATTCAAACTAGTTTTTATTTGGTTTGTTTTTTAATTATAGTTAATTTTAAAAAAATATGGTATAGTTAGTTGTTAGTAGATATATTAAATAATATTTACAAATAATAATTAAAGTTGATTTGATGTAAAATAAGAGAAAAATGATTGGAAGTGATAGTTAATTTAAAATTATGTGAGTGGATGAATAGCGAATTAAAGTTGATGTGATGTGTAAAAATGATTGTTTGATCTTATTTAATTACATTGATAATATTAGAGATAGTGGGGTTGGATTAAAGCTAAGTTAAATTTGAGTTTTGATTAATTTTTTTACCGTTCAAACCATATCCAATAGCCCCCTAAGGGAAAGACGGAATAGTACATTTGTACATGGTACCGATTATCGACACGACTTATCAATAGTTCTATTTATTGGGGATTGGGAAAATGGGTTTCATTTAAATTTTGTGAAAATTGAAGATCATTTTTTCGGTGGTTGAATATCGACAGTGGTTGAGTCTTGATTCTGGTATTTATCTTGTATCTATATATCGGATATTGTTATTATTGACTTGTGTCTTTAGTTGAAGGTCTCGGCTAAATGTGGCTGCCTTTAACTTAAGCTAGTATTCTTAAATGTATCTAGGCTACGAGTGTGTTTCTAGTCCTCCCAGTGCTCATGCTGCTTGATTAGTTGGATGTATTCGAACCATTGGTTTGTTATGAATTTTCTATCGTTTAAAAAAAAAAAAAAAAGGAATATCGACGGTGATGTGCAAATTTCCTGGAAATGGGAGTTAAATTAGTTAGGTGACAGAGTCACGTATTAACTCAAGTTTTGAAATACCTCTAATATTCAAGTTAAAGATTTGACTTATGAACTGCAATATAATAATCTTTTTTTTTAGGTACGATGAAGGAGGCCATAGAGGCCAGGGACGTAGTCCTTTCGGAGGGGACGAAACTCTGTGCAAACCAAACAAAGAGGAAGATGCTAGGCTCGCCAAATAGTCAGCTGCAAAATTAGCCTCTCTATGCACATGTTGTATTCAAATTTGTGAATCCCAATGAGCCATGCTTCGAATAGCCTTAACAAGCGACTCATGAGTGTCGAGGTTGTCCTTGGAGCCAAGCACCATTTGTATCGCACATTGACTATCAACCTCGGCAATCACTTTACAAAAACTCAACTCCCATGCCAACTGTAGACCCTGAAAAAACCCTAAACCTCGACACCCGTAATAGTACAATGTTCAATATTCATATGAAAGCCCTCGATCCATCTACCCGACTCGTCTCAAAGTAATCCTCCTGCACTACTCAGTTCCGTAGAGGTATCAAAAGCACCATCCGTATTCACCTTTATCCACCCTGAATCCGGCGGATGCCAAAATATCAAGCGATTTTCATAGCTAGCAGCTCTAACCTGCACATAAGCTGTTGTTGCTCTTCCATGCTGCTCGGCTAGGCGCAACACCTCCATGCTCTTTGCCTCGCAATTTTGTGTGCGTTGGTTGAACACTCTGACATTTCGCCACCCCCATGTTAGTCATGCAGTGAAAGCAAAACGGATCTCCTACTTTCCAGCCCTCCCCATCCCTGACCTCGCCAAACTTGTACGCAGTCATAGCTTGAGGGGCTGTTGGAAAAAGTCACGAGCAAGGCTCTCCGGGAGCAGCCGGGTCCACAAGCTCTTAGCAGCTGGGCAATCACGAAGGACGTGCAGCACCAATTCGCACTCCCTACAAAAATCACAATCCGCCAAGATGGAAATATGCCGTCGGACCCGTTCCAAATTAGTAAGGAGATGACCTTTGGCGGTAAACAACAAAAAATTTTGGATTCGCTGTGGTACTGACAAACGCCAAATCAATTTCCATATGCTGTGGTCGGGATCTCTCTCAGAATTAGACATAGCCTTATATGCGGATTGAAAGGAAAATCTACCATCATGGGAGAATTTCCAAATGATGCGATCCTCTCCAGCCATTGATTTCAGGGGGAGCGTGCCTGCGATACGTAGAATTACGGATGAGAGAATGATTCCATGGAAAAGATCCCACTTCCACCGACCCAAATCATCTACAAAGTTGGCGACCGGCATGTCAAGACACTCGTCTGGCGGCAGACGGGACGCATACCTTAATAACGGTAATTCTGAACCGAGCCATGGGTCAAGCCAGAATCTGGCCGTTTCCCCATTTCCGAGTACCCAGCGATCTTTAGTTTTCACCAATTTAAAATTCTTCAGTCCCATAATTTTAATTTACCGCGTACCTACATTATGAGAATTTTATCTCAATTTACCTTACCTTCTCGGAGTAGAGTGTTTAAGGAAATACCCGTCCTTTTTATTTATTCCGAATCCCTTCTTTTTTAGGGAAAAAATGGGAAAGGGGGCCTCCAATATGAAGAGAGGAATATTTGGCCAGAATTCGGAGCACCCGCCGGACTGAGGTTGGCTGGAGTCAGTAGAGGTGAGTCGTCGGATGAAGCTGAAGGAGGCCGAAGTCGGTTGGGGTGGAAGTGGCTGAAAAAACGTGAAATTGACATGTAAACGCGCGAACCAGAAAAAATGGCCACTGGAAAATATCGCCAGTTCTGGAGAAGGTGCACGCTGACAGAAGCGCATCGGCGAGAGGATTCTGATAGTGTCTTGGGATTT